CGTCGGACCCCCAGGAGCAAAAAATTTCGACCGGATTTTGGCAAAAAAAATCAGTTTTGATTTCGTTCAAAAAATATAATATGTCCGTTTTGACGAAATGGCTGTTATCGGCTATCATCGCTAAAGCGTTGGAACTGGACCTGGCTGATACAAAAAAATATATCAGTCAGGGAGACGAGGATATTACAGATACCATACGGGATGTAGCGGCTAAAAGGCGATCATGGTTGCAAGCGGTAGAACGGTTTTATCCCCGCTCCGACCATGACCTTCCCGACGGGATCGTTGTCGATATCCCGCCTGTTTCGTCTTCCTCTCCCCCAGTGAATCAACCGATCGCGACAGTTAAAAGCGGAATCTCACCTGAACCCCCCTCGCCAACCATAACCAACTTACATCTTGCCTAGATGATCCATACGGCCACTACCAAGCAGTCCGAATGGATGAGCAACTTGATCCAAATGCAGGCCGCTCATATGGAGCGGATGGAACAGATAATGAGCAGGTTGATTAAGCCTAACCCGGCCCCTGCTCGGCCTGCTCCCACGTCATTTACACTCTTGCCTGCCTTGCCTGCACCAGGGTATGCACCTCAGTTCCCTCACGCAGCTAATCCAACAGGAAAGATCGAGTGTTTTGACTGCAAACAACCCGGACATTTCGCCTGAGACTGCCCGCAGCCAAAGCGTAGTCAGCCCCCACCTGTAGCGACCCTTGTGGCCCTGAATCAAGGACGAATGGCCGCTTTGATGGATACGGCCTAGGGAGGAGAACTCGTAGCATATGCCCCAGAACAGTCTTCCCCCTCTACGGCAACGGCGTCAACATCAGGAGTTTCTTCCTCTGACGTTGCTGACGTGGTCGACCCACTCGAATATCTTCATCTTGCAAGCATGGTCGGAGCGATCCGATCGGCCCTTGATGATCTTGAATGGGTCGATCGCGAATCCAATCCTGGTCCGCAGTTTCGGACAGGAGAAATTGATGTGTTACGAGCACTCAAGCAATTGGATATTCGTGTTCCGATCCCGATGGGACATTTGCTCACCATATCTGAAGCGGCGAATGATAAACTTTTGCAACATTGCCTGAAAAATCAAAAGCACTTCACCTATCAGCGCATACAGCGAATGTTGAAGAAGAAGGAAGGAAGCGAGGAAGTTACACCGCCCGAACCCGAAGCCGGCGAACCTGAGGCCACGCGTATAGCAGCGATCTCTTTAGCAGAAAAAGATCACTTCGTACGAGCTCGGCCGGTACTGTGGAAGAGTGCAGAATGTGATTGTGAAGTTTGGGGCAAGCCGTTTAACGCCCTTATCGACACAGGATCTTCTGCCATGGCCATCTCATTGGACACTGTCAAGAAAACAGGACGACTTGGATCCATTCTTCCTCAATCTGGCAAATACAATTATGTCTCTGCCGACGAGGAAGCAATGAACATCGTGGGCATTATTGAGAATGTGGCTGTAAAGGTTGGACGAGTGCACGTCCTCGTCAACGCGCTCGTGATATATGTGCGTTCCTATTCCGTGTTGTTGGGACTACCTTGGGCGATGGCAGTGGGTGCACGACTGCATTTCGATTCGAAACAACTGGTGCTCACGCAAACTGGGGGAAAGCCTCAAACTGTTCCCTTGCGAATTTCCACCCGAACGATAAAACGAACCCCTAACTCGGCCCAAATAGGGATGATTCGATACATTAATCCCGATGACTATTCCTCCTCAGACATCGATAGTGGAATCAGGGAACCAGAATACGAAAAAGAGCTGCCTAGCGAAGATGAATGGAAGCACCTGGTCGAACTTTTTGAACACGAAATTCCCGAAGAATTTCAAGTGTGCACCGACACTGCCCGAAGCTTCCACGTGGATTCAGGAGACAACGCGTTTGCGCCTCCGATAACCCAAGTTAGTCCTTCAGTCCTTCTCGGGGAACCCATATTACAAGTATCTGACTTGACCGATGATTTGGAACCCCCTCACACCTTGTACGAAGGAGCTCTCTCCTTACGAACGCGTTATCAGCAAACGGAACAGTATTTGGATGTTTCTGTTTTTCCGCCCAGATTACTAACGACAGAAGCCACCATCGCCTTGATTAAACAAGAGGCGGAAGCGCCGGTAAGTGATGTACCTGATATGATGCAAGAAATGACGGATCTAATGGGGCTAACTATGGAACCGACCTCGGTTGGTTCAGAGACTGATGCTGAAACTAAAGAAACGAAGATGATCAGCCCCGCTGAGTCCGAGATGATAGCAACTGTCTTCTCTGTTCGCACCAGTAGTTCCGTTTTCTCTAGTGTCCATAATCGGCGGGAACGGCCGGTTGATTGGGTCAATATGCCCCTTAAGATTTTTGGGGAATCAGCAATCACCCTACCGGGTCACGTCCCCATAGAACTTCGGAAATCGTTAATCTGTGTGTTAAATGGTTACGCAGAAGTATTGAGCATACACGAGAATGATATCGGTTTAACTAATGTGATCGAGCATGCCATTCTCACGGGAGACCATCCACCCATTAGCTGCGCTCCTTACCGATACTCGCCAGCTCAACGAGCGGCCGCTTTTCAGCGGATTAAAGAATTCGAAGCTAATGGATGGATCGAACCCGCAATAGGTCCCTGGTCTTTTCCCGTAGTAATCGTGCCTAAAAATGCCAGAGGGATTCGCATTTGCATTGATTATCGAAAGTTGAATGATATCACGATCAAAGATGTGTACCCCCTCCCCCGAATTGATGAGTTGTTGGATGCGATTGGGAGTGCTTTCAGCAAGTTTGATGTTCGCCATCGGGTTCCATCATCTTCTTGTTCGAGAAGAAGATCGTCCGAAAACGGCATTTGTGCTTTTCGAGGGTACGTGGCAGTGGATTCGATGTCCGATGGGTATCTGCAACGCCCCCGCGACCTTTCAGCGAGCAATGAATATGGTTTTCCAGAATTTCGTACGGAAGACTTGTTTGGCGTTGAGCATCATCAACTACTGCGTGATTGTGTACATGGATGACATTCTGGTGTACTCGAGCTCCTAGGAGGGGCACGTGCAGCACATCGAATGGGCTTTGCATGCGCTACGAGATGCGGGTTTCAAGGTGACATTTGAGAAGTGCCAGTTTTTCCTTACCACCATCTCCTTTCTGGGACACATGGTAACAGACCAGGGGCTCCAACCGGAGCCGCAGAAGGTGGCAGCTGTCAGGGATGCGCCGGTGCCTACGACTATCATGCAAGTTCGCGCCTTTTTGGGCCTGGCCTCGTACTACCGAAGATTTATCAAGGGCTTCGCGACGATTGCGGAACCCCTCACAAATCTGCTGCGCAAAGATCAACCGTTGATCTGGACGCCGGAGTGTGATCAAGCGTTTTTGAAACTCAAGGCCGCTCTTATTTCGGCTCCGGTCCTTATAAGGCCGAATCCCGAAAAGCCTTTTGTTCTCATTACTGACTTGCAGCCAGAGGTGATTTCAGCGATCCTCGCCCAAGTGGGACCAAGTGGACTCGAGAGCGTAGTGGAGTATGCATCCAAATCGGTGCCCGCCTGCAAGCGCAACTACGCCGCTCCGACAGGAGAATGCTACGCGGCACTCTGGGGAATCAGTCACTTTCGCGCTTACCTGTATGGGCGGAAGTTCACCTTGGTAACCGATCATGAGCCCCTGTTGGCTCTGAAGAAATTGAAGGACTACTCTGGCATGATCGGGCGATGGGCAATGGTGCTGCAGAGCATGGATTTTGACATTCGTCATTGGAAGCACGAGAGAGACGGGAATGCGGACGGGCTGACACGACTGCACCGGCGTGAGAAAGTTCCGAAGAATGAGGAGGTGATTCTGTGGAACGAACCCGAACAGGAGATCGGACCTCGGTACGGCCAAGTGGAGATCTTATCAAAGCAGTAAGCGACACGAGGACTAATTTGTTTGTTCTTCCCTCTCTACAATACAGTCACATCCCTTCCTCCTCTGTCATCATGACTACCCCACCTGCCTCCGCAACCCCTTCATCTCCTACTAATTTTGCCCCTCTTACTTCCTCAACTTTCTTTGCCACCCTCACCGATAAATTCTGTTACTTTTGCATGTGCATTGCACGGGTTTATGGGGTCGACTGTCATCCTTTCGAAACCGGGTTTGTCGACTGGGTAGAATGTGCCACGTGTGTCAATCGTGCGCACGAGGCCTGCGTTCGATATCGGACGAGTAGCAAGGAATGGAGGTGCCCCCTGTGTAGAACGAACAAACTCCCCACAGAGGTTCGATTCGAGGCCGCCCGTACGGACGGCCCTGAATACGACGAAAAATACCGACGAGCGGAGGTTTGGACGGATAAAATCTTATTGGCAAAATTAGCGGGATTATCATTGAGTCACCTCACCAAACACGACAGACGTAGGGCGACCGAAAGATCTCGGGACTATCGATGGATCAACGCTCATTTGGAAAAGCGTAAAACTGACGGATCAGGGTCGTGGTTGACGGTTCCCAATCCATTCCAGAGATATGATTGGATCCGATCTGCTCACGAAGAAGAGGCCGCTCATTTCGCGATACGTGTCAGGGAGGCAACTGTAGACCAGAACCGATGGTTCTGGTCCAACACACGAGATGATGTCAAATACATTGTCGCCAACTGTCTGGTCTGTGCCGCTGATCGCACCCCAATTCGGGGACCAAACACGATAGTACCAACGAAAGCAGAGCGTCCTTTCCAGCGAGTCAGTATGGACACGACAGATATCGATGTGCCACCAGGCCCAAACCGCTGTGAATATTCTATCCTTTTAGTATTAATTGATCATTTTTCCAAGTACATCGAAGTTTACCCCTGCAAGACCCGCAAAGCCGCAGAAATAGCTACGTACATCGATCGGTTCCTCTATACCCATCTAGATACGGAAGAAATTTTAACCGAAAATGGGTCCGAATTTAAGGGAGAAGTAGAGGAACTGCTCGCACGAAGGGGCGTCACACTCCGACATACGGCACCCCACGTGTCCCTGTCAAACGGGTTGGCTGAGAACGCCAACCTTATGATTAAAACCACCCTTCGTAGGAATTTAGCGGCACACAACACGCGTTCGTGGCCCGAGATCGTATATCAGATCGTCGAGATCCACCGGGCCACCCCTCACGAGTCCACAGGGTTTACCCCTTTTCAGCTTCGTACTAATAGCCTCCCCTGTGTCGACTATCGGGGTAACTCGAAAATTGTTGAACCAGGGGGTAGAGACACGCGTACAGCCCTCAAGGCCAAGGCCAAAAGGTACACCGAATTAATGGAGCGGGCTATTCCGAAGCTAGCCCGAAAAAGACAAAGGATGACCGATCTGGCCCACGGTAGGCAGGTCCGTAGCTATGAGGCTCGAAACGGAAACGCTGGGCCCCAGCATCAATATAAATTAGGGGACCTAGTGCAGGTACGTAAATGTGCACGCGACCAGAAACTCGCTCCCAAGTTCTCTGGCTGCTTTAACGTTGTCGAGCTCGGTCCTAACGGCGCCAACACGGTGCGCATCGCGCCTGAGGCTAGTACCAGCCATAGCTCTGCCCCCATCGTTCGGCATACCTCCTACCTTCGTCCTCTTCCTCCCTCTCCCTCCTCTGAAAGCGAGGAGAACGACGACGATCCAACTCTCTCTCCGCTCTCTCCCTCCTGCCCCTCGTCTTCCTCTCCGACCTCGCCATGAGTTTCATCTCGGAGCGGGCTCTTGACGAACAGCTGTTGCAGCCACGTGGCCACATCTCAGAGATTCGGCAAGTTTGTCACCCGCGGCTCAATACGGATCTTCGGCGTTTGGCGCAATTTTTCTGCGACGTGGGTGTGTGTCCCGCCGCCGTGTTTCGAATCGAAGGGAGTCCTCACGCCGTGGTATTTGCGGAGGTAATCGCAGTTCATCGGCGAGCGGCTCCCAGAACGAGCCACGTCACCACGGTTGCGGCGTTCAGCAGCGATATCAGTTCAGTCAACCCACGGTGGCATACCGCGATCTTGGCTTCCCTGCGAGAGTGGACGGAACAAGTCTCCAACGTGTGGCAGCACGGTCTCGCCTGACCAGTGCACAATCTCCTTCCGACCTTTGCACCGTATCTCGGCGACATCCGCCGTTCTCCGCGCGAGCCGCCAGTTGCGATCCCCACCCTCGTCCCCTTCCCACGTCCCCAGAGAACCATGCCAATCCCCTCGCTCCTCTCTCCATCTTCGGTCTCCCCTCTCTCTTCCCCACCTTTTGGCAATCTGATCTTCATCCTTCTCTTTCCTTCTCGTTCAAACCTCTATCTGTCCTGCTTATTAACCCTGGGCATTGGCGGCTGTGGCCCGAAACTTTTTAACGAGTTGTCCTTCTGCTTGGTCCGAGTACAGGTGACGTGGACGCAGACCAACGAGCATCCTGCGTGGATCGAAAATTTGGAGCTGTTGATCATCCAGGCTTGGAGGACTAACGTTGAAGGCGATCTTCTCGACTTTCTCTTTGGATCGGTACGGCCCGGCCGCTGCCAGCTGATTGCGCAGGAGCTCATCGCGCCGATCGTGCAATTGGCGGACGATCTCTCGCCCGACATCTATTCACAAAGTGACGACAACCCTGCTCCATACGTTCTCGAGCGGTCATTGGACCCGTACCTACAGTGGACACCGTGCTTGGAGGAGCCCAGGGACGAAGACACTCTACCATCACGGCAGGAGTACCTGAAGCCTTACGACATCATCCCTCACGCCTTCTATCCGAAGGAGAAGGAAGTGGTGATCGAAGACGAAGAAGAAGACGACGACGAGGAAACGTCGGAGGAGGGAAGCTATAGCGAGTATAGCGAGGGAGAGCTGAGTGAGGAAGAAGAGGAGGAAGAAGAAACTGGATCTGAGTGGGAAGCCCTGCGGGAGGAAGCAGCGCGCACGGGCACAAAAGCGGAAGATCCTGAAGCCGCACGCAAGCGGGAAAAAATTGCCACCGGGAAACGCCAGCTGGAGTTCGCCAGAGGAGCCAGCTTGTGCATCAGTAACGATCCGACCAGAGATACGGAGCCGCCGAAGCCCGAAGATGGCGACCCAGCAGCCGCCACCTCCAGCACCGCACAACGGCGACGACGCCGATCCCCCTCCTCCTCCAGCCCCACCCGTCCCCCAGTTCGCCCGCGTACCGATGCGGGCGATAGGCCTTCGTCCTCGGACGTTAACCCGCCGTCCCCTTGATTTTCTCACCCTCAAACAGATCCGCACCCCCGTCACCTTCCC